TTTTTGAGAGTAATATTGCAATTCTGAAATATTATTAATTATAATTATTAATAATTTTTTTCGTACACACTACAACACCATTATTAGTCTATCAGTGTTATCTATATATACGAGATAGAAATTAAGTTCTATAAGTCTTTATTGATTGATTTCTTTAGGAACTTCTAATGTCAAAATGATGACTAGGAAAGAATTATTTACTCTTATGCAGCGTCAGGATTTAAATAATATCAATGATAAATTGATTTTTTTGGAAAATCATCTTTTGAGAGACTCCTCGGACCAGCAGGCGGACCAGCAGGCAGCTGGCTTGCTGGAACATTCACCGTTCCGAAGGCAAACATTTCAAAGCAAGTAGGACGACCGATAAAGCCGTTTGATGAATTAAGTGATAGAAGCAAAAGAAGAAAAACTGAAAAGTTACGTCAATCTACCGACTTAAATGTCCTTACTTCTGCCGCTCAGTCGAAGTTAAGAGTCAGTGGAAAAAGAGATGCTTCACTGATGTTTAAAAATATCACCAGTTCACCAAAGCGAGCTACAAAATACAAAAAATCTTCTATTGAAAAAGAAAATGTGATAACCTCACAATTAAGTACTTCTCAAGCCTTATCACTTTTTGTTGAAGCAGGACTTTCCAGAAGTCAGTACGAGGTAATAAGAAGTTACAGTAAAAACATATATCCCTGCTATAGCGTACTACAAAAAGCAAAACAGGAATGTTATCCTGATAAGAAAGCTTACAAGGTTACCGAAACTTGTGCCGAAATAAAAATTCAAAATTTAATGGATCATACTGCCACGCGCCTTCTTAAGCATCTAGAAGAAGTAGTGCAATCTTTGCAGAAATCCGAGAGGGATTCGTTGGTTTTAATGAGCAAGTGGGGATGTGATGGGGCACAACAATCTCAATACAAACAAAAGTTTGTAAATGAATCTGACACTGATGCGCACTTATTCCAGAGTTCGTTTGTACCCCTTCAACTTAGTTGCTCTACGAACAATAAAGTCATCTGGCAGAATCCAAAACCATCCTCACCCCGTTATTGTCGCCCTATAAAGATAAGATTTAGTAAAGAAACCACCGACTTAACTAAAGAAGAGATCAAATATATTAAAAATGAAATAGATTTATTACAAAATTCTACAGTTACACTCTCTAACAAAAGTTATTCAGTTAAACACACAATGATGCTAACCATGGTAGATGGAAAAGTCTGCAATGCTATTACAGGCACTACTTCTACCATGAGATGTTATATCTGTGGTTTAACCTCAAAAAATTTTAATGATTTAAACGTAAAAACAGAAGATAAAACGGAGGCACTTGGTTTTGGTCTTTCTGTGTTACATGCCCGAATAAGACTATTTGAATCGATTTTACATCTTTCTTACAAGTTACCTGTAAAAAAATGGCAAATAAGGGTAGAGACTGAGAAAGCTGTAATAAAGAAAAGAAAAACAGAAATACAAAAGAATTTTCGAGAAAAGATGAGCTTGATCGTAGATGTACCTAAACCGGGATTCGGTAGCAGTAATGATGGCAACACAAGTAGGAATTTTTTTCGGACCATGAGCTAGCAGCAGAAATTACAGGAATTGATGTTAACTTAATATATAGGTTAAAAGTAATCCTGGAAACCATCTCGAGTGGATTTAAAGTCTCTTCAGATTATTTTGCTGTATACGCGAAGGAAACTGCCGAGCTCTATGTTAAACTTTACCCCTGGCATCCGTAATGTAGGAGTCACATTACACAAAATACTTGTTCACGGAGCAGCAGTTATAGAAAGCGCGTTACTTCCAATTGGCCAGTTATCAGAAGAAGCGTCAGAAGCCCGAAACAAACATTTTAGATTATATAGGTTAAATTATGCTCGAAAATTCTCAAGAGAATCCTGTAATCACGATGTAATTAATCGACTATTATTAACTTCAGACCCGTTCATAACAGCAATGCGACCAAATCTCCCAAAAAAAGAATGTTACAATGTTAATTTGTGCTGCACCTCATACAAAAGGACAAGATTTTTCAGATGAAAATGACAATCTGTCTGTGCACGAAAACTCGTTTAACACGTCATTTTCTTCAGTATCATCATTTAGTTAACAACTTCTTATGCGTTTCTATTTTAATTTATTGTTTTATAGTAGTTAATATAACTTTGATTTGTCTATTGTTTCGTTTTTCAAGCGATGAAGAACTGATAGTTCTCGTGAACTTTAATATTGCAGGATAGCCCATTTGTTATCCAGATTTAATAGAAAACTTATAAAACACAATAAAAAGCCTATATAAATACTTTTAAAGTTGAGTAAAGTGAAAAAATATTTTTGGCCGCGTAGATCTTCAAAATACCCCACTGTGCGTCGGGGACGACGAAACGGTAAGTGTGAGTTGGTAACAATTCTGTGTCGAGTGTTATGTCCAACTGGTTTTGTAAAGTCCGGTGTAGACGTTGATTTTGGAAAATTTTTTAAGAGTGTTGTATATTTGGTTTCAAAAGAAAAAATTTTGGGAGTTGGAATAGTATTTTTGACAATGGAACCAATTGAAAACAAATTGGTATTCGAATCTACCAATCGCTTCTTTTTTATATCCACCAAGATACCAAATGCATGAAGGAAATCCGCACCAATGATTGGATACGAATGGGAAATTCCTTCTTAGATTTAATGAAATTGTAAGCATTTTTTTACCGTATGTAGTACCATTAGCGGCAGAAAGGTTTGAGTTGGTATCTTGGTTACGTTTCGGATATAATTTGTGAGGTAGAACCGAAATGTCAGCTCCAGTGTCAATTAAAAAATTTAGGTTATTTTGATTGTCAAAAATGAAAAGTCGCGAACTGACAGAATTTACCGTAAATTGAGGTTGACTTTTTGTCAAAATTTTGAATTTGGAAAAATTTTGTTTTTCTTTTGAAACCTTTATTAGTTTTTTGATGTCGATGGAAAATTTTTGTTTTTGTCGGTGAAGGAATTATAAAATTTGCAATATGTTCCTCCACATTTAACCGCGTTGTCTCCAAATTTACGGTGATACCAACAAATAGTCGAATAACTCGTAGAATTAGATCTATTGCGCGAGTGACGTGACGAAGAACGATGTCTATCTCGAGAATTGTGAAAACAATTATAATTNTTAGTAATTCGTCGTGTGGTGGTGTTTTTGTGGTGCGATGTTTTTGAACTTCCGAGAGGTGTGTTGAGGTCGACGTCAAATTCATTGATTCCCACACCTTGTCGGCAATGGAAAGAATGTCCACAACGTCCTCTTTGCCAGAAGCGAGGAGTGCAACCGAAACAACACGAGGTAGTCTCCTTTGCCACAATTTTAATAATAAATTTGGACTAACCACCTGAGAACCACCAACCGTGGTCAACATCGCTCGATAAAAATCTGACGGTTTTTGATCTCCCATTTGCGAACCTAACAGAACATCGTCCAGCCGTTTTTCTTCACTCAATGATAACCTGTCGATTAACAATTTTTTGAGTGAAGAATATGGATTTATGTCTGGAGGGTTCTGTATGAGATCTACCACGGTAGAGATGATCTCAGTGGGTAAATTTGCCAAAAGAATGTTGATATATGCCAAAAATTGTTGAAAATATGATTAATTTTTTGATTCCTCTTAATATTAGTCCTACAGGAATGAAAAGTGACTTTACTCACCGGCACACGACTGTAAACAAAACGTTTGGAATCTTGATGGTTGCGGGACTGGGCTGGCGCTTGTTCTAACTTGATGGAATGACTTGACGTCTTGTTGTCAATTGACGTAATATGGCTTGGGTTTGTCTTTATTGGGTATGGGTAGAGCGCAGATTCAAATATTTCATCGGGGGCAGGTTCAAGCTAATCTTCGGGTGCAGGTATAAAGTAATCGCTAGGGTAGGTTCAAAAAATTCGTCGGGGCAGGTTCAATTTTCGGGTGCAGGTATAAAGTAATCGTTAGGGTAGGTTCAAACAAATTCGTCGGGGGCAGGTTCAATCTTCGGGGTCACCAAATTGTGGATATATATATGTGTGCACAATATAACAAGATAAATTAATATTTTAATAAATAGTAATATGAACTACATTCTAAGGACTGATAGAATCGATTGATTATTATTTGAATGATAAATTTATATGGAAACGTTGTTTTGTTTTGTACATGTCGTGTGCACAGCATTTTTCCGCCGTTTTCGTTTTTGGAGGGGTGTAGCTTAGGGGAGCCGAAGTCGCCCATGGTTCATATATCAAAGTACCCTTAAAATTCACTAAACAATCACCCCTTGAAGTTTGTTGCAGTCATTCAGA